CAACACGAAACACAACAGTAGAAATAACAAAGAATATATTACACAAGAAATAATAAGTGAAAGGCTTAGAAAAGACTGTCCGACTGGTTTGGCCTGACTGCTATTAGCTCGACTCAAATCAATTCTGTCCCAATACCTTTCGTCTCTTTTGAGAGGCGTAATATATATAGCGTTCGGTAGAATTCATTCTGTCGGTCTAGGTAGGTACCATGACAATATATATATATATATATATATATATATATATATATATATATATATATATATATAAAAAAAAAACTGGAAGAGAGTTCACAAGTGATAAATGTGATAAAAGTTTTCAAAAATGTATTGTTGGTAATATTCTTTTTTCTTCAAAAATGTATTCCTGGTAATAATTTTTACAAAGTATTTCTGATATTATAGACTATTTTTACACTTTCATAGTGTTTTGACCCCATGTTTGGTGGGGGTAACTATTTACCCATAACTGGGACCCTAGCAGGTGCTACCACCCCAGGTCAGGGTAGACCTGGGAACACCAGCAATTAAGAGTTGGTTCCATGCTCCTCAAAACCTCCTGATCAGAGGCCTTGCTGTTCGACATAGTTTATCGTCTTACCCAGGATGCGGATGTATTTTATCGTCTTACCCAGGACGGTAGAACTTAAGGCTGCATCTATCTAGCCATTTTAACTGTAAAATGATGGGACCTTGTCGCCCATCTAGTACTGCGCTTAAATTCATAAATCTACGTGCCAGAACAATTACCATGAAAGTATTTGCAGAATAGGCATAAGGAAGTTACATCATGGCGAAGGGAAAATTGACTGAAGCTGAGATACCATGTCAGGACAAGTAACATTGCAGATTCTTGTTTAAATTTTATGAAGGATCGCTAAATATCTGCCAGGAGCACCAGACCATATGAGGCAGAAATATTCTAAGCATGGACAACACACACAGACAAACACACAAACATACGTGATGTGCGTGTAATATTTAGAATTTTAATAAAAATCAAACCTATGAAACTGAATTTACACATTCTTTCTCAAGAACTGTCAACAATAATGCTCAACTATTTATTAGATTATTTAATTACGACTAAATTTCATATTTACAAAATTTATAAAAATATTTATAAAATTTATGAAATTATTTCTAAAATTAATTTACATATTTAATTTATTTATACATTTAATTTATATTATTTATAATAATATTTATAAAATTTATAAAAGTTATAAAATTATTTATAAAATCTATTTATATATTTAATTTATTTGTATATTTAATTTACATTATTTATAAAATATTTATAAAGTTTATAAAAATGTTTATAAAATTTATGAAAATATTTATAAAATTTATAAAAAAATAAAGTAAATATATAGATAAATTTTATAAATAATTGATTATATTTTTATAAATTTTATAAATATTTGTTGGTTATTCTACTATGAAAATTTATTGTTGGTCATTTTGTTATAAAATGCATTGCTATAAAAAATCTAGTGTTGGTAATTTTAGTATAAAATGTATTGTTGGTAATCTTTTATAATTTATCGCTGGTGCTTTTACGATAAAAAGGTATTTTTATACTTTACTAATGTTTTGATTTCTGCTTAGGGTTCATTATTTGACCATAGCTGGGACCCTAACAGGTACTACCACCCCAGGTCAGGGTGGACCTAGGAACAGTAGCAATGAAGAGGTGGTTCCACGCTCCTCAAAGCTTCCAATTTCCCGATCAGAGGCTTGCTACCGGACGTAATTTATCGTCATACCTAGGGCTATTCACTGGGGGAGGGCCTTACTTCTCTGCAGAGGTGAATTCGGTGAAATTTACAGCCCCAGCCGACAGTGCGCTTTTACATTTGGAATGAAGGGGAAACAGAGATTGTTGCCAGCGTGGGAAAAAAAAAAAAGATTACAGAGTTATGAATAATCCGCCCCCCCCCCCAACAAGGTTGCGCAAAATTCTTATATAGATATATCGATGTAAACTTAAAAATACATTTCTTCATGGCGCCATTCAGTAAAAAAAAAAAAAAAATCTATTTACATCATCCGTAATCAAATGAGATGATAATTTGCATGGCAAACACAAAAGAGCCAGAAAAAAAAAGTTCTAGAGAGATGAACACGTTAGAAGAGACGGTGATGGCTTCGGAGAAGAAAATGCTGACTGTATCGTTTTTTTTTTATTTTTATTTTTATTTTTATTTTTATTTATTTATTTTTTTATATATCTGACGAGTTTTTTTCAGATGGCCATTTCGGAAATCTTTCTTTAGGCGACACGTGGGGAGGGGGCGTGCTTATGTGTACGGGTAGGGAGAGATAAAGTAAAAGGGAAAACTAAAAAAAAACAAAAAAAAAAACAGTTGCAATAAAGACAAGATAAACGTACCGAAAGAAATAGCGAGTTTAAAAGAAAGAACAGGTTAAAGAAAGAAAGAAAGAAAGAAAGAAAGAAAGAAAGAAAAATAAAGAAGAAAGTAAGAAAGAAAAAATAAAGAAGAAAGTAAGAAAGAAAAAAGAAAATAAAAAGAAATAAAAAAAAGAAAGAAAAAAAAAAAAAAAAGAAAAAAGAAAGAAATAAAAGAAAGAAAAAAAGAAAAAAAAGTAAAGAAGAAAGTAAAAAGAAAAAAAGAAAATAAGAAAGAAATAAAGAAAGACAGAAAGTAAGATAAAAAAAAAAGAAAAGAAAAAAAAAAAAAAAGAAAGAAAAGAAAAAAAAAAAAAAAATAAATAAAAAGAAAGAAAAAGAAAGAAAGAAAAGAAAGAAAGAAAAAAAAAGAAAAAAAAAAAAGAAAGAAAGAAAGAAAGAAATAAATAAAAAAAGAAAGAAAGCAAAAAAGAAAGAAAGAAAGAAAAAATAAAGATATCAAGAAAGAAAAATAAAGAAGAACGTAAGAAAGAAAAAAGAAAATAAGAAAGAAATAAAAGAAAGAAAACAGAAAGCAAAAAAAGAAAGAAAGAAATAAAAGAAAAGAAAGAAAAAAGAAAGAAAGAAAATTTAGAAGATTGCAAGTACTGACAAAAGGTCAGAAAAGAAAAGAAAATTTTCAAATGAGAAAGAAGAACAGAAACAAACAAACGGAGAATAAGTATTGAAGAAAAGAAAGAAAAAAGAAAGAAAGAAAAAAAAGAAACAAAAAAACAAGAAAAAAACAACGGATATAAAAAAAAAAAAAAAAAAAAAAAAAGAAAAAAAATAAAAATAAGACAAAGACGAAAAAAAAATGAATATGTAGTGAGTTCGGATACTTTTTGGCCTTGTGCCACATCTAAGTTACAAAAAAAAATGAAAAGAAAGAAGGAATAAAAAAGAAAATATTGCAGAAAGAAGAAAAAAGGAGAAAAAAAAAAAAAAGGATTTTCAAAAAAAAACAGTGTCAGAAGAAAGAAAAAGTCTGATAAATAAAATGAAATAGATAAAAGGTGAAAGGAGAAAACAGGAACAAAAACTAAAGAAAGAAAGAAAAAGGAAAGATAAACAAAGAAAAATGAAAGGAAATAAAGAAAGAAAGAAAGAAAGAAAAAGAAAGAAAGAAAGAAAAAAGGAAATAGAAAGAAAGGAAGAAAGAATGAAAAGAAATAGAACAAAAGAAAGAAAGAAAGAAAGAAAAAGAAAGGAAATAGAACGAAAAAAAGGAAGAAAAAAATAGAACGAAAGAAAGGAAAAAAAAAAAAGAAAGAAAGAAAGAAATAGATAAAGGCGAGTAGAAGAAAGCAAAGCAAGAAAGAAAAGAAAGAAAAAAGAAAGAAAAGAAAGAAAAAGAAAGAAAGAAAGAAAGAAAGAAAGAAAATAAAGGCAGGAACAAAAAAAAAGCAAGCAAACAAGAAAGAAAGAAAGAAAGGAAATAGAAAGAAAGGAAGAAGGAATAAAAGGAAAGAGAAAGAAAGAAAGAAAGAAAGAAAGAAAAGAAGGAAAGATTAACAAAGAAAATGATAGAAATAGGAAAGAAAGAAAGAAAGAAAGAAAGAAAGAAAAAATAGAACAAAAGAAAGAAAGAAAGGAAAGAAACGAAAGAAAGGAAAGAAAGAAAGAAAGAAAGAAAATAAGAAAGAAAGGAAAGAAAGAAAGAAAGGAAATGAAAGGAAAAAGAATGAAAAGAAAGAAAAAAGAAAGAAAGAAAGAAAGAAAGAAAGAAAGGAAATAGAACGAAAGAAAGAAAGAAAGAAAGGAAATAGAACGAAAGAAAGGAAATAAAAAGAAAGAAAGAAAGAAAGAAAGAAAGAAAAGGCGAGAAACATAGAAAAGAAAGAAAGAAAGAAAGAAAGAAAGAAAGAAAGAAAGAAAGAAAGAAAGAAAGGAAAGAAAAAAGGAAGAAGGAATAAAAGAAAGAGAAATGAAAGAAAGAAAGAAGGAAAAGAAAGAAATGAAAGGAAAGAAAAGAAAGAAAGAAAGAAAGAAAGAAAGAAAGAAAGAAAGAAAGAAAGAAAGAAAGGAAATAGAAAGAAAGATAAAGGCGAGTAGATAACATAGGAGCAAAGCAAGCAAACAAGAAAGAAAGAAAGAAAGAAAGAAAGAAAGAAAGAAAGAAAGAAAGAAAAGGAAATAGAAAAGAAAGAAGAAAAAAAAGGAAAAAGAAAGAAAGAAAAAAGAAAAAAAAAAGAAACAAAATGAAAGGAAAAAGAAAGAAAGAAAGAAAGAAAGAAAAAAGAAAGAAAATAGAAAGAAAAAAAAAGAAAAAATAGAAAGAAAGAAATAATAAGAGAAAAGCAAGCAAAAAAAAGAAAAAAATAAAGAAAGAAAGAAAAGAAAGAAAGAAAGAAAGAAAATAGAAAAAAAGAAAGATAAAGGCGAGTAGATGACATAGGAGCAAAGAAAGAAAAAAGAAAGAAAGAAAAAAGAAACAAACAAACAAACAAGCAAAAAACAACGGACATAAAACGGGAAAATAGAAAAAAAAGAAAATAACAAAGAAGAAATAATAAGAGAAAGACGCCAAAAAAGGGAAAAAATATGAATGAAGAAGAAATCATGAATTGTACCGACGAGAAAAAGAATGAAAGCAAAAAATGGCAAAAAGGAAAAAGTTTTTACCCTTTTTCTCTCAGAACTCTACCACTCCCTCGCTCTCACACTCTCTCTCTCTCTCACTCTCTCTCGCTCTCTCTCTCTCTTTCTCTCACTCTCTCACCCTTCACTCTTAGTTTCTCTTTATACTCTTTTAACACTTTCTTTAAACTTCTCTTCGTTCTCTCTTTTACAACCTTCTATGTTATTGTCTCTCTTGTACGGTGTGCTTACACTCCCCCCACCCTCTCTTTCTATTTCACTTTCCTCCATCTCTCTTAACGTTCTCTCTCTTTTACTCTTTTATCCATTTTTCATTTCTCCAGCTTCCTCTCTCACTCTTCATTTATTTCCACCCTCTCTTTCCAAGCATCTCTTACCACTCCCCTATCTTCAACTCTTTTTTTCCTTTTATTTCTTTTTCGCTCAGTCACTCTTTCTTTATTTTTCACCCTCGCATCTCCATCTACGCTTGTTGCCGTCCACTCTCCCTCTCTCATTCTCTCATCTTCTCTCTCAATTTCTCACATTACACACACACACTCTTCTTTCTCTCTCTCTCTCTCTCTATCTACCCCCGCCCTATTTCATAGGTAATATGGAACGCTTTAAAGAAACGGTATTGTTGTCATAAAGTACAAGAAAGTACAAGAAAGTACAAGAAGACAGAATGCATGGTCCTCACCAAAAAAAAAAAAAAAAAGCCCAAAATGCAATTTACGGGTCGGGAATACTAAAGTCAATCACGTACAGAAATTTAAATATCTAGGAAGTGTTCTAACAGAGGATGGAAAGTGCAACACTGAGACATACTGGGATGGGCAAAGATGCCTTCCAAAAACTAAGTAAAGTATTAAGAGACAGGAAAATGTTGTTTGAAACAAAACAAAAAAAAAGACTACTGATCTGTTACGTATTATCTGCCTTGCTTTATGACAGCGAATGCTGGACAATCTCCTCAAAGAAAAAAAAGCAACAGAAATGTGGTTCTACAGAAGGATGCAGAGGATACCATACGAATTCGTGAGCAACGACGAGGTTTTGGAGAGATTGCAAACAGAGGAAACTTATACTTAACATCAAGAAGAGGCCGCTGAAGTTTCTGGGACACGTAATGAAAAAAGAGGGCTTGGAAAATCTGATACTCACAGGGCGGATAGAGGGAAAGAGGGGCAGGGGAAAGCAACGCGTGGCATATTTAATCGGTAGCTGAAAAGGCAGAACAGGGCCTGGGAGAAATAACAAAAACAACAAATTTATGAAGAGCTACAACGCACAGGAGCAGGTTGAGGGCCATGATCGCCTACATCCTGAATGGACACGGGACATAAAAGTACCTCGTTT